TTATTATTTTATAATCTGTATTTATTTCAATATAGTATATTTTTATATTATTTTATTATCATTACCTTTTATGAATCATTTCCTCTAAAGACATATATAAAGAAAAATATATATAAATTAATGAATTTGATTAAACTATCTTAAATTTATCTTAAATTATTATAAAATTTATAAGTTTAACTTAATCTGTAACTTGATCTATAAAATATTTTATATTATATCTATAAATTTTTATATTAAATATTATCTTCGATTAATTATTTATTTGGATTATTTCTTAATTAAAAACTATTTTGATTATTTAATAAAAAATAAATAAATAATAAATTAATTTTATTAATTAATTTTTCTAAATGTAAATTATATAATATTTTTTAATATTTTTAATAAAGAAAAATTAAGGAATATGTCTGAATAAATTACTAATAATCCATATGATTGATTAATTCTTCATTCTCAAGTAATTAATTATCACATAAATAAATTTCATGCTCTATTTCACATACCTTGGTGCAAGAATCTGCCAAAGCCGGACAGAGCACAATTTTGAATGCGCTATATACTTCGTGCTTGCTACATAGACCAACAGGTTTAGCCAATCTCTGAGTTTCTCGACCAATTCTGACCAGTGCTCTTTGTAGCAAGTAAGAAAGACGTGGTATCGTCTCCATAGAAACTTGCTCCATATGCTCCCTAGTACGACCATTTTGCAATACACGAAGGACGTCATGATGCGTCCATGGTAATTGCTGTAACTCCACCAATCGATTGTGAGAATCTACCCAAACGAATTCATCCGCACTGGTTACATTGGTATTGATAGTTTCTAAGCTCGAATGTCTCATCAGCCTCCTTACAGCTGGTTCTGAACTTTCGGATCCACTTAAAGAGGAATAGGTGGAAGACGATTTATGAGAACGCATAGTAAGCTGCTGGATTGCTAGTTTTATGTCTTCTAGACCAGAGCCTGACCAGGGAACCTGTAACTACAATAAAGTTATTGGATAAAGAATTTAAGAATTTAAAAATTGGATTGGCAATTCTATTAATAGCATATTGAAGACACAAAGAATAAATTATATGTAATTTTTTACAAATTAAATATGTTTTATTTAATGATTAAAAAAAATAAATCTATTAATGTTGATTTGATAATATTTATAGATTTTCAGAACGAACGATATTTTAAAAAAACAAAGATTTTTTAATTATATTTAAAAGATTTACAAAATATATTTTTTTCAATTATAAAATAGTATTATACTATATATATATATTTGTCAATATGTTGTTTAAAAAAACCAAAAACACACCTTAGCAGGTGTAGCTCTATGTCTATTGCGATTCTGTCCAGATCTACTCCTGCCATTTCTTTGGGTAACCGAAGCCGATAAACGATCGTCTTCTGGTACAGAGTTTAATTGCTGCGGACTGTGTGCTCTATGGTGACGGTGCGGTGGTGAACTGCTACTCGTATGCCCACCTGTGTCCGACATACTTGCATGTCCAGAAGATCGATTCTCATCCGATGAGCTATTACCGGTACATTCTGGTCGCCTCTATAAAAGATGTTTCTTTTTCAATGTTGTAGTAATAGATTTCCAAAATGATGGATCGTGAAGAATAGATTTTTTTTTTAAATAGATTTGAAAAATTAAAATAAAATTTCTTAGAATTATATAATGATTCTCTCTTTTGAAAATAAGAATGAAGAAAGTTCAGTTTCATCTTTTTATATTTCAATTTAATACAATTGCAATGATATGATTATTTTATATTAACAGTTTAAATATTCTTATCTTTAAACATTCTTATCCATTATACCCTGTTTCATAAAATTGTTTTATAAAAAATTGTTAAATACCTGAAGGGCACGAATTTCATGTAAACTAAGATGATGATGTTGAGAGTGATGAGGATGTTGAGGCGTTGGTGTTGGAGCAACGCTATCCGTGTCCCTTTCTGCCACCATATGAACCATATTGTGAACTCCGTTTTTCGATGAATTTTCCGTGAAGTCTTTCGAATATGGATGACAATACAATTCTCGTCCGCTTCCACCAGCCGGCCTGGTAAGAAAAAGGTAAAATGATTTCTTGAAATTTAAAAAATATTTTTAAAAATTAATATTTAATTTAATTTTCTATAATTATTATTTAAATACCATCATTATTATATTATATTCACACAAGTAGAAGACAGACTTTAGAATAAAAATGTTAGAAAATGTAATCTTTAATATTCACCGGAAATATTTAATATTGATTCTTGATAAAATCTAATTCATGACGTAAACTGTGTAAACACATTTTTATTGAAAAAAACCTCATCAATCTATCAAAAATATTTTTAAAAAGATAAGATAATAATTATAGAAATTTAAATTTTTATAATTAATATATCCGCAGTATTTTTTTAAATAGCATATTTATTTTATCAATAAGCTTATCAATACGTTTATCAATTTAAGCTTATTAATTGATAAGGCAGTAGAGCTATAATTTAAATAATATTAAAAAAATTTTAATTCTAAGTAAATGTTTAAAGTTTATTTCATATAAACTTTATGTTTTATATTTATGTAATTTAAAAGATATTCGAAGATTTTCTATCCATAAATTAATAAGTATATAAATATCTAAAACTTGTAATTTTAAACATTTTTTCAGACAAATTAATCATTACCTCGCATCTATTTTATTGATTTCTTGAAAGTTCTCTCTCTCTCTCTCTCTCC